ATATACACATATGCATCTCATCATATTTTTATTTCCATCGCCTTATTTCTCACGTATTTGATAAAGCTAGAAAAAATATCAACATGCACACATAGTGGCACTCCAAAATAACTGCTTCCTCCATGGTGTTTCAAACAGCATCTTTGTATTGGAACAGGAAAACAGAAGAATGTAACAGCACAGGGACTTATTCAGTCAATTATCTCGTGCACCAACTTCCTTGAAAAGCAGGGAGCAACGTTCACCCCTCAGCACTACAGATGGGCACCACATTTTTCTACATGCAATGAAAGAAGCCAACAAAAAAAGCAAGGGCTATTTTTAAAAACCCAGCAGGCGCCACACGCAGACATCCTGCTGCTAATACCTCCATCAACAGGGATTAAAACCAAGTATGCTGCACACTGAGCAAACACTTTGGATGAACCAGCAGGGCAGATTGAAGAGAGGGTTCCACCTGCAAGGACTAAGCTCCTTGCCTGCTGTCTGCAGAGAAGAACACCATACACTTGAGGCCTCCTCACACCGATACCCACAACTGCACCCAGCAACTGCACGTGGAGGGACATCGCTGAGAGCACCAAAAGGCAGGTACTACTCTTGCAGGAAGCTAAGAACAGTCTGTCCCAAACGAAGTTGAGGCTTCAGAGCACTTTTGCCACTTATTTGGTAATTAGAAGCTGGGTAAGAAATCTGAGTTGTATTCCTGTCTCCTCAGTTTCACTATATTTCTTCTAAGCACCCTGTTGACTCAACACAAGTGATTAGTACTACAGGAATCGAGACAAATATGCATAAGGAAGTATGGAAAGTCTGATTACACACAAAGGTCTTGTCCACTTCCATCATGAAATCCAAGTTACAACATATTGGTAACAGAAATTCCACTGCAAATAAGGTATTATGTATTAGGCTGATCCAGTCCATGTCTACAACAATAGCATGACATACAGGACATGATGAAGAACAAGAATAAAGAGAGAAAGTTTCCACATACAAGCTGTTTGCACAGCATATTGATGAGAATCACTGATCAGAAATAACATCATGCTTCCCCGTTCCAGAATCTCAGCTCCATTCACACTCCGTATTTCCAAATAACATTTTATACTCAGAATAACTGAATTCAGTTATTTTATTTTATTTATTTCATAAGTAATGAACAAAATATTTAACTTCACTAGGCAGGAGTCTAATTTCCAAATCAGGATGACAATTATTTCAAACCTTGGCTTCAAAAAGACACTTGCTGTATTTAACATTTTTAAGCCCATCCTGTTGTCAGAAGCTGAAGTGCCCTACACCCGTCCACTTTAAGTGACTTCTGCACACCCTAGAACTGCAAGGCAGAATAATTCCCATGCTTTCCAACCTTGTCCCAAGCTCCTGATCCTCTTGCAGATGGGCAGTCTCATGTTTTTGTTTTGGTTTTTTTTCACTCTCCAAAATTAACACTGAACACCCACTGGATGCCAATGCTCAATGTTGGTACCTTGTAACTGATGATACTTGGAGACAAAAACATAAACAAGCCACACAGGATGCCCTGGGATCCATTGCTCACTGAGCTGAAGGTGATACACCAGCTTAAGGAATGGAAAACTACTGCTACAGGATCATAAATACCTCTTCCAATTCTTCCTTATCTCCATAGCCTCAAGATAGTTTGTGCCAAGAATCAACAGGAAAGATACAACGAACCACCCACAAAACCTGCACAACATCACAGCATTTGATCCAGTGACAAGAGGGTGGAAGCAGTATCAGAGAGAAAATATAAGGAAGTCCAAGCAAGGAGAGCCTGTATGATGACAGATTTAAAAATAACTGAGCAGAACACAAGATGAAGCACCTCCTGCTTCTTTCACATGTAGATCAGTACTTTCTTACTTTCTCAGTGCAATTATTCTCACTTCACTCCCTCCTTGACTGATTGCAACACTTTTACAGGCAAATACAGTTCTTCATCCAAAAAACTGCAGGGTGATATGCATTGCTCACTGTCTTACAGCACTGTCTTTGAATGTCCCCTCTCGTCCCAGCAACAGAAACTGGATGGATGTTCCCAACAGGGAATAATTTTCAAAAAGGCATTGAACACTGATGATCCAAGGGAAGCCAATCTTTAGCACTGTTGTTTACAAACCAGCAAATTCAAAACCTGGCAGTACTTGTAATACAGCCACTAACAAGCTGAGCTGCACAAGGTCTGGGCTTGCCAACAGGAAACTGGGGATCCTTTCATTCCCTTCAGCTGTGCGTCACACACATTAACCCACCATTCACCTTACTGTCTGACTTCAATCCCAGATACCACTGAGGGCAGCACTTGAATGATCAAAATAAAAAGCCAAGAAAAGAGGAATTTTATTTCCTCCATCACTGACACAGTTCATGCGCAGTGTATCAGTGTACACCTGGAGCAGTTTGTGCTATTCCTGAGAGTGTAAACTGCAGAAAGCACAAGCAAAGTTTGAGAAATATAAAGTGTCTTTAACATTGACTTCTCCTTACTTTTCTTCATGAATATGCTTCTTCCTTTCATATTCCCCATCTTTCGGCTTAATTTACTGCAGGCTTTAAGAGGCACAATTTGATGGCGGTAAAGTTGATGAAAATACAACACAAAGCACATCTTATCCTAAAGAAATCCAGTAACTAATACAAAAGAAGTCAAAGTTTTATGAGCATGATGACATACCAAAGCAGGCAACATCTCCTGCTAGTTCTATTTCAGCTTTACAACAAGAAAAGGCCACAGCAGGACAAAGAGAAGCCAGGTGACCCAGCCTTATCAGAAACCTGCAGCAACAGTGGAAGCAAGATAAGAAAAAGCCACTGAGAAAATTTAAGGAAACAGATTTTGGTGGAGCACACTTTCCTTTTGATAACTGCTGCATGTGCAGGGAGCGCAGAAACGATGAAACCTACTGAATCACTCAACTCTTGCTGAGCACAGAAGATGCCCGTAGAGACTAAGGAAGATTCACACTCACCTTCTTCCTCACAGTAATAGGAGAGACAATAAAAAATCATCCTCCTCTTCAAAATCTCATCTAGATCAGCCATCATGTCAGACAAGTGATGCGATACCAAGACCATCTGATAAACTGAGGCCAAGCAGCACACGCAGGACCTCGTAGCTACACTTCCATGGTCTGGGAACAGAGACTAACACAGGAAATGAAATTCAAAATTAAATGTACACATCTCTTGTGCCTTCTGGCTAGATCTCTGCAGCATCTTCCATGTGGGCATGCCCTACATTTGGGGACACGGTGCTTTACAGCTCCTTTTCTAACTCTGGAACAAAGGTGAGCACAGTGAATAACCAATTCAGCTATAATTGGTGACTTTCCTTTGCTCCTCAGGACAGCATGAACACTGTTACCTGCCTGCATTTAATGACAATCGTGCTGCTTAGAGGCAGGGAGGGGAAGAGGTAAAAAGACAACTTCTCCTGCATAGTAGGCAGAGGGGAAAGGAAGGAGCAGAAACAGTATGGAAAGGAAAGCAAGAAGAAGGAATTAACAAGGAGACCAAAACTGGAACCACGGTAAGGGACAGGACAGCTTATAGAAAGCCAAACTCATCAGCAACAGTATGTACCAGCGTCAGGAAAGACAAGAAAGACTTCACACACTACTGCCACAAATGCTCCAAAATTCTGAAACTCCTTTTTATTTTTAAATGCTTGGCTCCCATGTTAGCCATCAGAGCAGAGCCCTCTCTCTCCATGGAGAGATTTCTGAAAGTGTGCTAGTCTGACAGTCTGCCTGCCAGACTTCTTTCAGTTTGATGAAGCACCACACCGGGCTGTTTAAATCATCCCTAGCTAACGGAACGTTACAGATACGGAGAGTCTGGCGAAACCCAAACCTAAACAACTGCAGCTGAAACTATGCCTTGTACTTTAATCCCGTACAGAAAGGAAAGTCTCCGAACCCCAGTCAGGGTGCAGCCACAACCACAGCTGTGCCATTACATTAAGGCTGACAGGCAGCACTGCTCTCCTCTAAAATTCACATTACTACAATATGTAAAAGCTACAAACGAGTAAACCATGAGGCAAGGCACCCGAAAAATAAAAAGGGAACAGCTTTCCTTCCCTCCCCTGACCTCGACATTCAGGTTAGTGATTCTTAGTCTGTGAGAAAGCTAAAGGACAAAGTGGATTTCCTCCCATTTATCTCATACAGAGTGCCTGCCCAGTTACAATGTCAACTACTAAGAGTACAGATGAGCATCAACATGAAGGATGTAATAACTCACATGATACTAGCGCAGTACCAGGCATTATTCTTAGCTGCCAACTAGCCATTTCAGGAGGCAGATAACATCCCTTATGGACAAATCTGGACCTTGTTTGTTCCAAAACTCTCCCAAATGTCTAACAAGACTATCTGGCTTGGACAACAAAGAGCAGAGAAAAAACAGTGTCTCTCTTAGCAATCCATTAACACTCCACAGCAACAGCCCCCTCTCTCCACAGCATACCATAAAATGTACCACAGCATTTATCCTGCAACTAAAGAACAGCAGTATCCTCTCTGATCCCAAAACAAATCTCAAACAGCAAACTTTTGTTGGGCACTTCCAAATTATTTTAAGAGCGGATGCCCCATCCACCACTTAACAGTAACATGATGCTTCTACAACCAGTAGCAAAAAGACACACACATTCGGACATGACAAAGACCCAGTTACAGGCTTCCACAGCAAATCCTCAGCAGCAGAACACATTTAAATATCCTGGGAGGGTGAGTCAGGAGCTACAGATCCAAGTATAAAACTCTCTCCTAATCCAGACGGTGAGATTATGTTTTGGATGGAGAGAGTCAGTGCTTTGAATTCTCTCTCTCCTGTCACCCCCCGCCCCTGCCATATGCTGCCACTTCTTTTCTTTACTATCAGAAGTGGCTAGGGTTTCTCTTCCCACCCCCCAACTGCTTCATTCTCTCCCTGGCAGGCAGTCAATTCCTCAGGCTGGGTGCATTAACACCCTGCAGCCCATAAAGTACTCACTCGGAGCTCTCGCTGCTGCTGCCAGTCGCAGAGCTGCTGTGCTGGTTGCCCTGGCCCAAAACCTGGACCCCTAAGGACCTGACGGCCCGCATCAGAATCGCCTCCATCGCTTCAACCGAGAGCTTCTCCAGGACGATCACCCGGCATCGGCTCAGAAGAGCAGCATTGACTTGGAAGGAAGGGTTTTCCGTGGTCGCTCCTATCAGGGTCACTGTCCCACACTCAACGTGAGGAAGGAAAGTATCCTGAGGATGGGAGGGAAGCAGAAAAAGCTCATCTCCATCAATGACAACCTGAAACATCCCATGTGAGTAGGCTATATTTTTTGCGTCTTGCGAGTCTTTGGGTTTCCTGTTGATATGACAAATAACCTCACTGACAAGGCAGCTCATCTGCTCAGCTACCTACATGATTTAATTTCATGCACACAGCACGTTACAGGCTGTTCACCTTAATAACTCATGCTTGCACTGAAAATGACCCTATCAGCTGAAAAGAAACAATGTCAAAAATCTGCAAATTTTTAGTTTATTTATGCAACTTTGCTTCATTGCTTGGCAAACGTATCATGAAATTGCCTCATCAAACCCAACAAATAGTGAGGGGACTTCTAAATACTCTTTGAATCAAACTTTAGGGCTACAATTCCCT